AACACATATTTTATAAAAAAATGTGATTGAATTTATATTCAGATCTATAGACAAGTAAAAAACTGAACTCTTATGAATAGTAAAATATGTTGGTAAGTGCATAACGTAATTAAGGCAATGATATTTCGTTGTATTTGCTATTTCCAGGAAAAGAAGAGGGGAAATAGTGAAAATGCGACCTTTCCTTCGTTAGCGAGGTATTTGGACACGTTGCAAACGAGGGCAGCAGGGGCGGGCTGTTAGTTCTTGCTGGTAGTTCTTATAAAATTACAATAATAATCCTAATTTTTAAGAAAAACAATAATGATTCGTCGAAATACATAAATGGTTCCGTAACATTGAACTAAGCCAGCCATTAGCTAAGTACTAAGTATATTATGAATGTGTAGGGACTCCCCAAAGCCACATTGAGTGAGTAACGAAGGTATTTTCTTGTCATGCAATCACAACAGTAGTTTTTGGCCTTGACTTAAACGTCGTTAATTTTTGTTATCCGCTAAAACTGTTGGAGATATAAGAATCAAGTAAAGTATTCAGGAATAACAAGATATTTTGAGATGCTGATAAGAATATATAACAACGGGATCACCATTTTCGTAAGACGACTCGGCGATCGCAATTAGGTCACCAAAAGTTAAAGAATAGTAATGCCAGCTGCCAGCTGAAACTGCGACCAGCTGCACCAAGACATTTTCCCTTGGTGAAGCTACCTGGCCGCCTATCAGACTTGAGTAAGTGTGGGGATTAATGCTTAAACCTTCTCCGTGTGAGAAGAGGCCTTTGCTCAGTCACCACTTATGATAATGATATGGTTTGAAGCTGGTCGCAGTTTTAGGGAATATCAGGGTCTCACCTTTAGTTAGGAGGAGCAAGTATAGACTTATCCTTAAATTGTTTTTAATAAGATTTCTTTTTATAGACAATACTTCGACTACAAGAAGCGGCTGGAAAGTTCCAAATTCTATGGTAAAAAAAAACAAATGACATGGGTCATGTTGTAATATTTTTTTTATCAACCACATTGATCTATCTGCCCTAGGTATATCAATATATTTATAGAGATAGAGAAACACATATCCTGGACATCTATGACGCCCGTTTAGGCAATCAGATAACAACTATAAACTGATATCTGCTGATACCTGTGATATGGATTTGACTGTCGAAAATGTGTCAGTGTCAATGTTTATATAGGTACATATGTTAGTCAATCACATAAACTGCTGAATAGTTTTTTATAAATTTCAGCATACAGATAGCTCAATCTGCAGTTGTAGTTGCGGTTCAAGAGCAATAATGAGATGAAATGAGAGAAGAGATTTGATGATTTCCCCCAGAAAAAAAGGATAAGTAATATAATTTATTACGGTTACGCAATCTTAATCAATACTAAAATGAACGAATGTGCCTGGCATTGACTATATAGTATTTTTTAGGTATTTCTATGGAATAGTGAATTCAGGTAATGTATCATACAATGATCTATACTAATATTATAAAGAGGTAAAATTTATAAGTGTGTATGTAGGGGATAATCTTTGGAACCGCTGGTCGGATTGCCAAAATTCTTACAGTGATAGATAGCTACAATGTTCCTGAGTGCTATAGGCTATAAAACATGTTCGGACGATTAAATGGAGCCGAGCAACGGGTAAAACCGCGTGAGAGTAGCTAGTATACAATAAGAGATCAACGCCACTCATGGACACTCGCAACCCTACAAGAAATACAAGCACGCTGTCCGCTTTTTTTAAAAGAAGTAGGTACCTACTTTTTCTCTTTAGTACTGAATTCTCAAAATATTAAAATAACTCAAAACGGATGATGTTTTTTTGTTATGTTTGGTCTTAATGTTAAAAAAGACATTATCTTATGCAAGTATTGTTAAAGTATTGACGTCACAAATGATTGATCGCTTTGACTAAACACATAATAAAACTATTTATTTATCCTTGAAACATAAGTTATAAGTAATAAAGATAGGAAAAGCATCCAGTGTAATATTTTATAATAAAAAAACTACTTTTTTTCTTTTTAATTTGTCAATGTCATTGGGACTTGTTGTTTGTGTTTCATTTCTTAAGCAATAAATATTAATTTTATTCCTTGGCACTTTCAATGATTAAGTTCATAAAGGTTGCCATTTAGATTAATTATACATTATAATCAATTTTAAATTAAAATGCATTGTGCTTGTGCAATTATAATACATATCAACGATTGTTTTCGCATTGACTTTGTAATTCTATTTATAACTGATTGCTAAAGTACAGGTCTTAGGTCCGACTGGATAGGTTCCTAGGTCAAAAATAAATTAATTCGGTTTCAATACAATAAAATATTAAAAAATAACTACTTTTATTCATCGATCGATCGACACACTAAGTTTTAGATATTTTTTAGATAATTATTCAGAAATAAGTACCTAAGCTATTTGACGCAAAAATACTATGGCGTCATAACTCAGTTTTTCATACAAAATTAATAGAAAAGTATCGTTTTTGCCATTTGGATAAAACTATTGAATTTGACTAGTTGGAAACTACCGTATCAGAGTTAAGTAGCGTTGAGTTTTACATTTCTGTGTGGTTTAAATGTGGGAGAGCCATACTTCGGAACGAATGGGTCGGTTCACCGGCTTTATACCACGGCCTCACAGAAAACCCTTATGAAACAACCAACGTGTTATGCCGCCGTGTGAGTGAAGTTACTAAGGCCCAATCCTCCCCCTCCCCCCAATCCCTCCACAATGCCATAATCTCCAAATTCCTTATCCCCAAAAGATCGGCAACGCACGCGTAACTCGAAGTTCAGACAAGAACTCCGTTCTTGCCGGTGTCCATGGGCGGAGCTGATTGCTTACCATCAGATAATTCGTCTGCTCGTCGATGAGATAGTACTGGACTCAAAAAAAAGAGTTTGGATTTATGATTCGTGGACAGTAATTTGCCAGCAATATGCATATTAATATAAACAATATTTAATTGTCTAAGTTGGACTGATAGGATATTGAGTATAGGTGATAAGTAATACAAACTATATAAAAGGCCAGTTAAACAATATTTGAAGAACCTCAATATACCAGATAAATTTGAATATGGAACGTAAATTGTATGAACTATTTTTTAAATAAAATAGGGACTTAAATATGAAAGTGACTTATATTAATAGAGGACTTAGAAAGAAAATTAAAAAAGAAAATATAGAACGCCATCTATAATGAACTTTAGAAACTTTATTATGTATAGTATTGTTTATGCTTGAGTATATTAGAAGTGCGTTGAGTCCAGTCACATACGATCTGAGAGCACAAGTCCGCTGGCGCTGCTCCCTATAGTCTTATTCTCGGACAAACTCTTAACATCGCATCAATGTAATGAACCAAAATGGTATGGCGTTAGTGTAGACGATATAGAAGGAAACTCCATGTGTGAGAATGTCATTGACATGTGTCAAAATTTACTTCAATCTCATTTATTGCGTAAAGTCCCATTTACACAATTCAAGTTTCTTGCCTGTTGCATATAATATTATAAATGCGAAAGTTACGATGTTTCGATGTTTGTTACTCAATCACGCCAAAACGGCTGGACGGATCCTGATGACATATGGCACAGGCATAGGATAAATTCCATTGACATAGGCAACTTTTTATCAACATACCACGCGAGTGAAGCTGAGGGCGGAAGCTAGTTAAAGCTATTGTTGAGTTGCATGATCTAAGCATTATTATGGTATGATGTAAACGAGCCTTAAATTTGTTGAATTCAATTGTTGCTCTTGTTTGTTTAAGAAAATGGTTTTAGCCTTTACTTTCTTAGTAGCGACGTTTGAAAACTATTTGGGTAATTACAGAGACAATATTATTTGTGGGATGTACAAATTGTAAATTTTTGTTTTATACTCATCTGTAATTCCTACGACACGGAAGTAAATGGAAGCGGTTGTACAGTTTATAGCGTCAACTGGGGTTGTAAGTGCAGGCACATTAATGTACCATTGCCGCGGCCCGGAGCAGGAGGTGAGAGAAGAACGCAGTGGTTTTTAGTCGGCAAGGGTCTGACACTTCCTCTCGACCCAGCCAGGGCAGAAGTAATTTCTTGATTTTGCCATCTCAATAAAAACGACCTTTATCGTCGTCGAAAATCGTGGCGGCTTTATCAACTAATTGATTGCCGTGATGGCCCGATTAAGCCTGCTGCTTCCCGAGCATGAAGGTGGAAGGTTTAAATCCCTTGAGCAAGCTTATTGGTGATTAATACTCATTCCTTCTCCTTGTCAGACTGTGTCAGTATGCATAATATAAGCTGATGATAATGAACATCAATAAAAAGTAACATTACATTATTCATCCCAGCATGGGACAAACAGAAGTGTACAATATTATAAACTTATGTAATTAGAGTCTTGCAATACGCTGAACGCAACTTCAGAATTCATACGAGTATTTTATAGAGATTACAAAATCTCTTCCAAACCTATCTAGTAAAATCCTAAAAGATCAAGAATCAAACTTTTTATTTCAAAACGTTGCACCTTACTAGGATTCAATCCACCCAGTGGATGCGTTTACAAACATAGAAAGTCGCACAGATCGCTCTCAAACCCAAAATAACAACTTCCGTTACAACAAAACATTGCTCCTAGGGGGAGTCGAATCTGCGACACTTACTTTGTACAGCAGTCGGTATATCAACGTCGTTAACCGTGTTTCTGACGATTTTAGTAACAAGGCGACGAAAATATTGCTTCAAGCAAAAAACTTTTTTTTTTTCTTTATAAAAACGTTGGACTAGGATTCTCTCCTGTGTTGTGAGTGTGGTTACAAACATACAATTTCACATACACATGACACCCAGACCCGGAACAACAATTTGTGCATCACACAAAGAGTTGATCCGTGCGGGAATCGAACCCGCGACACGTGACACGGCAGGAAGTTGCCCAGCCACCACGCCAACCGTGCAACCGTACCTTATAAAAAAAGTATCTTGTCTTACCTCTCTAGACCGCATGAGGAATCTTACTAATCTGCCTCGAAGTACTGCGAGTGTATTCTTGTCCAGCTCCACTGAAGTCCCCGACAGGGACTGCACCAGCACTTGCCAACGAGTCAACGACGTCTCCAGCAGACGAATGTCCTTTTTGTCCACTCTGTAACATAGTACAGATTTTAGAACCCCTACCGATTTTGAACCATAAAAATATGTACTAAGGGTGACAAAAATGCATGGAGAGCTTAAGGTCGACTATTGACTGACAGGTTTTGCATAACGCTACCATTGATAACTAGATGGCGCTGCTTTTAAATGAAAATAACCCTACAAAGCTTGAAAACTTTACACCGAAGAGGCACACAATAAGGTTTTTAATGGTTAAAATAATAATTAAAAAACAATAATATATTTATATTCAAAAACACATAAATTATGTTAATTTTCTGATTTCTGAGGACTTAATACAGCGCCATCTAAGTCAAGTCAAACAAACCAACTAAAAGATGGCGTCAATAAATAATAATAGACAATAATAAAAGTTATAAACTAACCCGCATTTTCGATATTATAAAAAATGCGATCGGTAGCTCGGATGAATAAGAATGATAGAATAATGAAGTCGAAGGGCTCCGGTTCAATTCCGGGATATCATTTTTAAGTTCAGGTTTTTTAATAATGGTTTTTTTATATTTTTTTTATATAAAATCAATAATAATAATATATAAATAAAATATTTGACGTTTAATATTTATAAAAGACAACAAAAATAAATATATATATTATTTTAGAAATAAATTATATTAATAAATATATATAAATAACTTTTATAATAATGTGCTAACTATTAATGTAAAAGTAACATAATTTTCTTACAGATTAAGACTAATACTAAGTATAATTCTCATAAAGGATAACAAATAAAACTATTTTAGTGACATTATAATTTCAGACACATTTATTTCTTCAAACATTATATTTATTTCTTTCTTATATAGGTGTATACCTAATAACTTTTCAGGTAACTGACACATTATTTAATTCACTTTTCATAAGATTAATAAGTATTTTAAATCAAAATTGTTTTGTGCTAGTCATTTATTAGTGAGTTTTAAACACAATGTTATAATACGTTTCTATATAATATGCAACCTTACTTCTGTAACTATTTTACCTCCCCATAAAATTTAATTAAAGTATTGACTAAAGTGATTCATTTTGTGCATCGTGTTATGACAAAGGTTCATAGCTTAAGTATTCGTTCCAGAACAAGGAAGAAATTGAAGCTAGACCTTAAATCAATAACATTTGTAAGACCGGGATATAGCAGTCATTAGATATGGGACGAATTGTTTATAGTAATAATAAATAAATAATTAATTATATTGGAATCGCTTCCGTAGATATAAATATTGCTTTTATTTTTATTTCTCATATTTAGTAAAACATTAAAATCATTACTGTAAATAACAGTTGCTGGTTATAAAGTAGTCAATAAATTTACCCTACTAACATTAAGTTTGAACATTTATCCATTAAATAAATTATAGCTACCCCGGTCTTGTAATTGCTTAATCCTATAGTTAACAATATCTTTTCTTTTAAGAACTCGTGTAGCCGTCATTTTTATCGATCCTATTTCTCCTATCTCGCTGGCCAAGGAATAACTCGTATGTGTGAATGCTGACTAAACACTTGCACAATTATGGAACATTACACATAGGACAATTGTCCTGCACGAACGTTATCACTAGCACATCTTCATGGCGTCATTCAGCACATCTATGTAGTTTTCACTGTTTGCATCACTGTAGATGACAATGCTCCAGTAATTTTCCTCATAACCTTGCCCCATAAGTTGAAGCTGGTCTGAGTCAATATCACGCCTTCTGCCAGATCCACTACGGTGCTCCAATGAACACTCTTCTTGAAACAGCTTTAGATATCCATAAAGTGGCAGTCTTTACCTGTAAGGGACGTGTATTATTTATTATTTTCATGTATCGATAACTATGGATAATAAAATAAATAACGAACGGTCATTTTAAAAGAATACTTACGTTTAAGCCAGTTTCTCTCGAAATTCCAGTATAATTTAAGCTTTGATTATGCAATGCTATTATTTGGGCCCTCGTAGCCATATTAATATTTGAACGCAAACTCATGATAAAAATAAATATTAAAAACTTGTTAAACAAATCGGAACTGAACTCACTCAAAGATAGTAAAGAATGTAATGATTGAACAAAAAGGTTTAATTTTTATACAGTTATTATTAAATTACCCTCAACTGTTTTGAGATTTATGATCGGGTTAAAGTTGCTAAACAACTTCAATACAATAAAGAGTAGGATAATTTCAATTTACTTCAAGGTTACGCAATGGCCTAATGGCTAGTGGCATCGGTAAATTTTATGCTACCGAGTTCGAATCCTAGTTTTTGCGTGCTTTGCTTTAAAAAGGTTTGGAATATCGTAGGATTAATTTGTGTAAAAAATTATTAAGTTAATAACTTTGTATCTGATAAAAACTATAAATGTATATTTTTCAATACCACTAGTATACTAGCGCCATCTATGTCGTCAATGGTATATTTAATTACGGCGATGAAACGCCGTACAAACGATTTTGATTTGGAATCCTCCATGCACTTATGACACTGATAGTACATATAAGGTTTAAAATTGCTTGATGACAATATATGTTACTTGAATAAATATTGTTAGATAATATTTGAACTTTATGTAACATGTATTGTTGGTATTGAATATACCTAACAACACCTGTCTTATGCGCCGTAGCTGAAAATATATAATATAAATAAAACAATATAAGATATTTTTAATTAAGTTATCAAAGTTCAGCATATCATCACATTCATAAAATAAATATTTTGTGAAGTTAACGAGATAAAGAGTTGATGCAACAAAAAGTCATAGACAACATGTCCCAGATAGGAATGGTGTAAATAAATAATAACTAAACAGTATAAAACGAAGTCGCTTTCTCTGTCCCTGTGTATGCTTTGACGTGTAAAGTGCTGTTTTATCGCTTAATTGAAGAGGAACGTTGATCTATACTATAATATTATAAGGAGGTAAAATTGGTAAAGTGTAAGTTAGTAATAGTAGGTAGGAGGTTTCTTTGGTTAACTTGCTAGGGTTCGTTGGAACCGATGATCGCATTTAAAAAAGTCTTTTACTGATAGACAGCTGCTATTTTTTTTTATTGCTATATTAACGAAGTGGAGCCGAGCAGCGGGTAAAACCACACGAGAATAGCTTGTAATGTATAATAACATCCATTAAATAGTGGAGCAATTTAACCCGTGCGAAGTCGGTCGCTAGTTATATATAAACTATACCTGTCAGCCATTTGCATTTCTGAATCCATGCCATCTTCCTTGTAATCAGGTAATTCGTTATCATTCATAGTGTCTTCAGCATCCGAAAATGTCAATATTGGGTCAGTCGGATCTGTGAAAATATTAAGATAATACATAAATCCATCAGATTAGTACCTAATAAGGTACCGGAGCTTCGACCTGAAGCAGAAGGAACGGGGGATCTCTAGTCACAAGGTAAGAGTCTGACACTGCCCCTCTCTTCATCCTGGGCGAGAAAAGTCATTTGATGATTTTCGCATCGTAATATTATTTATGTATCAGTGGGTGTTACTGGTCTGCAAGGGTGGAGGACCCTTGATAAACAGTCCAGGTTTCTGGGTAAACAGTGCCGGCGTTTGATGGGGCCATGGCCCTAGGCGAAAAATTCTGGGGGGCGCCCAGATCTGAAGTTGGAGTCTCTTGCCTCTCCTCTCCCCTCAGAATTGTGCTCTACGCTCTGTGCATATGCATATTTTTATTGAGATATTTTTTTTATTTTACTTGGGTCAGCAAAAATCTAACTCTTGATATTGCTTTCCGGAAGTGGGCGTCACACACAATATTTTCGCCAGGGATGTCAGTGGCCCTTACGCCGCGCCGGCACTGTGGGTAAGGCATAGAATAAAGATTTCAAGCGCAGTCTGAAATTACACCCCAGACATACTTTCCCCCTATTTCTCACTCTCAGCAATAAGACTAGTTTTAAGTGATGGCAAAATGGTAGACGCACAGCAAAGTTCTGGTGCAGCCAGATGTACCTTATTAATTTGTCTACCAGGGATATTAGGGAGCTCCGTAACCGTTACTCACACTATCGGATATCCGATACAAAAAAAAATATCTGTAACCCTAAGCGATGCAAAAATAAAAAATGCGGATAATATCGGATAGGGGCGGAGCCTAATTGAGACACGTTATGTTTGTATATTACTTTTCCAATTTCTTAAAATTTTAATATCCATAACCGAAACTATCCGAAACTGACGGATAAATCGAAATCATTTCATATCCGTATCCATAGCCGTATCCAGTATAATAACCATTCTTATATCCACAACTGAAATATCCATCTTGACAATATTTAGTAAGTGCTCATATGATATGTATATATTTTCCAGTATTTATTCCTTATATATTCCACTTTGAGTAAGCGATGATGCCACCTACGCAACGGCTATATGCGTGTGGATGGGATACCCACCATAAAGCGATGACGTTTTGCCAATCGTCTGGTACAATAGTGGATAAGACTCGGGGGAATCAAGGCGTGTACCTCCCCAAACATTTTACGAAATGTATCTGATAAAAAACTGATAGGCTCGTAACGTTGCGCCTGTGTTCAAGACTTTGAGACAACTTATGCAGTATACAGGTATATAAATATATATGTATGAGTGTATAAATATATATGTTCAAGTATGGGAGAGCCATGTTTCGGCACGAATGGGTCGGCTCGACTGGAGTGATACCACGGCCTCACAGAAAACCGGCGTGAAACAACCACAGCGTTGTGTTTCGCCGTGTGAGTAAAGTTACCGGAGGCCCAATCCTTCCACTCCCCCAATCCCTCCTCAATCCCTAAATCTCCAAATCCCTAATCCCCAAAAAGGTCGGCAACGGCACTCGTAACTCCTCCGTTGCGGGTGTCCATGGGCGGCGCTGATTGCTTACCATCAGGTAATCCGTCTGCTCGTTTGCCGACCTATTACATAAAAAAAAATGTATATTCTAATAAGTGATTATAAAATTTCTTACTTTTTGGTAATGGTTGTACAGTCTGATCAGGCAATAAATGATACTGCTTCAATAATTGCCAGTGTGCCAGCAAAGTCTTTGCATTCCGTGACGGGTAGAACACATGTGGGTTCTGGTCTAATAACTCTTGGAATCTTTCAAGGGGAGGCAGCGATGACTGTAATTGAAATATACTATAATGAGGATTTTTTTATTATTTAGTATACACATTTGATATTCTTTTTGACAGTAATGAAATGATAGATCCAGCAACTAAGTTGCAGCATGCCACACACAAGATAATATGCCATGGTAACAACAAGATAACACTTAAAAAGGTAGCATTTCTATAAAAACATTTAATTTTGTAGTCAAATTATTTGAGAAAAGGTGTTCTATGAGCATGCATGTCGCGGCGACATGAATAAGTAGTAAAAATTTTAATAGATTAGTAATTACTTTTCAAAACCAAGGAGGAATGGCACATTTATTAAAGAAATTTCCAATCATGATTATCTGTATGGAAACTTACAGGAACAGCAGGTATAGTTGCAAGCAATTCTTCTTCTGCAGTTGAATACAGAGCTTGTTGTTGAATCAAAGCCACTAAGTCTGGATGTAAATTCCGCATTGCTGCAATGGCTACTCGTGATATCTCTGCGTTGTAAAGTAAGGCGTACCAACGGGACTGTAGCTCACTGACAGTGAAACGGCAAGAGAACTTCACACCTCTATGTACTATTCGCAAGTCATTAGTCTGAAAATGGATAAAAATTATTTGTTACTAAACTATTGCTTTGGGTAACTATAAAGACGGCTTAAGTTGTAATAAATAAAAAAAGTAAAATTGGTTTTGACTATAACACAGTTGTAATACATGGTGGTATTTCTGCAACTATTCCATATTTCCATATTTATAAGATTTTGTAACTATTTCACACTTGATAGTTTGATTGATAGTAGGTATTGAGAAGATATTGAATTAAGAATAAAAAAGGCATTTGTATCAAAACAGCTTGTAAGTCCTTAAATTAGTAATATCAATACCTGTTGGACACCTAATATCAAAGCGAGATCATCCGTGGGTTTCCAACGTCCTAAATCCTTTGTCGAAAGGTGACTCAACTGCCCTTTACGGCGGATTTTGCGGCCCATACTGCCACCACCAGACACTTTACTTGAAGCCCTGCGACGCTCCGCAGGCTGGTGAACGGGAGGAGTAGGCACACTGGTCATGGGAATCTCCGAAACTTGGCTCGTATATGATTGGGTACGCATTCGCTTGTCACCTTTCCCAAGAGAAGATCCGGGCAATCCACTATATTCCACCAATTCATCATCAAATCGCCTTCGTTTTATTGATCGCGATGAACTGAAAAGCATGTAAACCAACGGTTTTATCAAATAAAATTCAAACACGATACTAAAATGAAATTTACAAGTCTAGTAAGAAGTACCTGCGTCTTTTATTATCGTCTGGCACGTTATTATATGGAGACCGTGTAGTGCTAGGGTATTCGTTACTGTCTGATGCATTTGATGGCGTTGCAGGGAAATCCATTATTTACTTCTTGCACGTTAAACAATAACTATAAATAATAATAAATTACGAAATCACTAAGTTTTGACTTTTTTACTCAATTTGTCAAACAAAGAAGTCTATAAAATGTAATGTCAATATATGTCAACTGTCACGTCACAGAGTTTCTAAAGCAAATATTGATTTAGCAATCATCGTGCCTAAAATCTACCACTCTAGTTTTAGTCGATTTTGTAAATATTTTTTGTGAACATTGAATATTTTATGATTCAGTTTATTATGTTAGAGCAGTTTGTAAGAAATGAAACATTGTGATTTTCCAACTAAATAACTTATTACTACAAAATTATTTATAGATATTTTCTTTTTACATTTCATTTTTAAATCTTAAACTGGTAACTTTCAAAGTAAATGTCAAAACCTAAAACTCGTATCCAGGCCATAAACTCCAAAAAAAAAAAAAAAAAAATCAAAACCTAAAATATTTGAGGTTATTTGTGTTATGATTTAAGGACTGAATTTCGGTAAATAAAAGCATTTTTATTATATTTCGTATGAAAATGGCGCATTTAATTCGCGCAGTGGCGTTCAAACCAAGAGATATATTAGCCAGATCTTATAATAAAATAGTTATAACCGACGACGGGTCGACGATAGTTGCACTTCATAAAGACCAAGAATTTCCTTACGAGTTCTCAAGACCTCTACCAGAAGAAGCAGTTGCAGACAAGTCGATTTTAAGAATGAATGATACGCAAGAAGTCTACAGAGTATTTAGGGACTTAAAGCCCGAGATAGCAAGGAAGCAGTTATCTTCTTTGACCCTAACTACCCAACATAGGTGGTTCCCCAGAGCTAGAGACAAGAAAGCCAAGAAAACAGAAATGAACCGCCCCTATTTGTAAAGTAATAAAGTACTATTTTAGTATAGGATATTGTAGAACCTAATAAATATTGTTAAACATGTCATTCTGTTTTATTTTTCTTCCATAATTTGTATTGAACTAACATGTAGGTGAGTATACTTGAAGTTCATTGACTTTCAGAAACATAAAAAGAAAATGTTTTATAGCATTTAAAATACCTGGCATACCTAATAGTATGCAGAAAAATAAATTATTAATATCTAATTAATTAATTATTATTTTCCCTTATTTCAAACTCGTTAAACTGCAATTGGAATCCAGACAGTGGCACACAATAATACAAGTGTTTAATTATGCTCTGAATATATAATAAAGCTTTGCTTGTAAGTTGGACTGAGTTGATTAAAAAATATTTTATAAATTCAAAATTCTCTTTATTACCTACTAGCTACTCTCGCGCGGTTTCACTCGCTGCTCTGCTTCATTTGATCGTAGCGTGATGTTTTATAGCCTATCGCACTCAGAAACATTGTAGCTATCTATCAGTTAAATAATTTTGGCAATCCGACCAGCGGTTCCAAATGTTACCCCCTACATACAAACTTACATACCTCTTTATAATATTAGTATAAAATTCCTTTTATTATATACCAACACTTGGTACAACAACCTGTAAGTAGTTACACTACTGGGATCAAAATGAAATAAATTCTAAGTCCCTTTTGTTTGTAGTGGCAAAAAAGTTGTGAGACAAGCCTGCCAATCACCAAAAACTGCTGTAACTCCTTCAAACTGAGATCTGCAGTAGATCAACCATGAAAACACCGAAACTTAACTGTACTGACCCAAAACTTTAAGTCCAGCACGTCAGGGACATGGATCACTGTCTTAGATCCCGCAAAGAAATTAATTATAAGACATCATTTGAGGAAAATTAAAATGTAGGTATGTAGTAGTATTATAATAGTTAATTATGGTTTTGCACTGGACAGGCTTAAAGGCTTCAAAGAGACTGCACATCTAGGAGATGCCAGCCACAACGCCAAATACCACGAATAAGTACTAAAAACAATATTGTTCCTGCCAACCCCTGCTTCGCACGGGTCTTCAACTATCTAGCTAACAACGAAATAGTCCCTACTACTTCCTAACTTCCGCCTTTAACTTTTAAAATCCGTAAGAACCTTTTCCTGACAATCATAAAAATAAGAAAAAAAGAATTAGCAAAATCGGTCCAGCCGTTCTTGAGTTATGCGCTTACACAACACACCCAAGCGTTAGATACGTTGTCCGCGCTCTAAAATGGCAACATGAAATGAAGGCAATTTGACAACATCGCGCTTAGTCACGCACCAACCTCCCGCGCGACGCTACGTTTGTTATAATTTATATCGTGTGTGTAAACCTGTACGAAACATAAAGAAAGCATGTCGTTGTGTGTGTTCAGACGATGTACAAATTATACTCCAAAAGTTAAAGACAAAAATGTGTCATTTCATGCGTAAGTTCACCAAAGAACCTATTTTTTTATTTTATTTTTTTCGACGCCGGCGCCCGCCATCTTATGGCGGCCGGCGCATAAAGGTATAGTCACGTGCCGTCGGCATAACTGAAGATGTATATTTATCTCCCTCTAGCAAAGGCATTCCACTATACGATGTCATATTTTCTTTCCCTTTCTTTACTCGTAGAAGTAGTTATCTAGTATTTTCGCCGTTTTTAAGCGCCGCGATGTTGGTTCATGACGTGTCTATATATAATACGTCATTGCAAGCAACACATTTTGCGTTTCATTTTTTATATTTGATAGATGTAGGTATAAGCTATGTAAAAATTTGATCAGTGGTTAATGGTGGGTTGGGTGGGTATATATATAATATGTATAATATTTGTATCAATATATATGTATAATACTTGACACCGAAATGTCGAGAACTGAAAAAAAAAAATACTATCTTCTTCAATGGGACCGAAACGCGATAAAGCGATACCTTCTCGTGCCAAAATATAAATAAGTATAAATAACGAAAATATTCAGTTGCCGTAATGTAGTAGGTATTCATAAACAGCTGGCTTCTCTTCCTACCCTTGTAGAGAATCAAAAGCGTGTAGGAGTTAAGATAAATAAATACTACGTAGGTACCAGTTACCAATATAAGTCAATGACTTGGCGTGTGAATCGATTGACTTTCAAGACTGGAGCATCGAGCAGTGACCTTAAAGTATGCAGGTACCCACACGTGAGGTCCCCATCATCCTACCTTGAATTGAACAGCACGCAACATTCAATAATAACTTTAAATGGGCAAGACACGATAGATAGTACCTAAATATTTTTACAGTTTCGGTTTTTGAATATTTACCTGCTTACTTTAGCGAAAAAATATCTGAATACAATAATAATAATAAAATCCGCAAGGCAGCCTGTGGCAAGCTGTTGGACCTGACTCCCATGGACAGCAAGTTAGTACAAGTACGTACTGACCCTGACCGGTGTTGGTATGGAATCAGAGGGTAGGAATGTCTGGCACTGGCACCGACACATTTCGGTCAAGCGCCGCATTTAAAATACGAATCAATCAAGAGAACACAACGAAACTTTTAAATAAATAATTTTAATTCTTGATAAATAATTTGTATATATTAATTTTACAATTTAATTTATCAATGTTGCTATCCATAGCATAGTGTTTATTTACTTTAAACCTTTTACAGGTGTATTTAACAGGTACACAATTAATTGTTAATAGTTTTAAATATTATACATGCAATTATTGTTAATCTAAGTACTATATTACACTTGATTATTAATTATATTGCAAAGTAACATTTCATAAACAGTACATGATTTTAAAGGATAACATGTTTCATCTATAAATTTGTACCCTAGCAAGGCTCATAAGCCACAATAAATGGATTAACAACAGCTTATCTAATAAATAGAACTATGATCTGTAGGGACTATTTTCTCAAACTACAATAATTTCTCTTCCTAAACAAAAATATTCCTTCACATTCAATATCACAATGATTGCTTCCTTTGGTGCTCTTTACATCTAAATATTGCACTTATAACATCGACTAGTTCATCATCAGTCACGAACCACGCCTTACTCCAACTACTTGCCTCCTAAACCATTGTAACTGGAAATAAGTTGTTAGCTAATCAACTGCGCTAATTAGTCTCAATGAAATACATTTTAATAAATATAATGATAGAAAGTGTTACAAAAATATGTCATCTGATTTATTGCTCTATGTGATGAGATGTAAGATTCGAAATAGAATAAAATAGTGACACATATGTGCAGCCAAATGTTACGTGTGTTGGCAACTAGTGCGCGGCGACGGACAATGAGTGCTCACTGGGTGTAACACCTGCCCTCGCGGCAATGAAACACGCTAAGCTACCTACTATCAGTAAGCTATCACTCAAGTGCCATAATTGCCAGTCTTGAAGAAAACTTAACATTAATAAAAATATACTCTCGGGAATTATTGTTGCATACGATGTCATCTCATGACCATAAGGCTAGGCAATTGTACTATAGTCAGATACCAATAGTTGCTATGCTATATAATATAGAAGCTTCAACATCTTATCAACTGGACATTAGTCTTATATTACTCTATGTTATGTTAAAAGAATTAAAAATTATAGTTCTTCCGTTCTACAAAAATAACAGCCATACAACTATCAATACAAAACAAAATGGCACACGAGATTACTACAAAGTTTATTATTAAAAATATAAATTCTATGTGAAATATTAACATAATTGTATCAAAACGAAAACATGACGATACATTAAATGTAAATGATTAAAAAAAATATGATTTATCTTTGGATTTAGCAATACATTTAATGTGAAACATTCCTAAGAAGGTACCAAATTCGAAAGGGCCGAACTCTGATAAACATCTACTTTAATATTTTTCACTTTATTTGTTTAGTATATTTAATATTTAGTAAGATCAAATAACAGTTAAAATATGTACAGTATATGATAATCGCTTTGAATTTTTAAGTCTAGGTGTAAATAAAGTTCAAAATATAATTATTGTAAAAGATTTCAACAATTGCTCTTCGGAGCTGAAGCTCACAAACAAATCTATCGCCCGCTTGATTTTTAATATTTGGCGACGTGCGGGCACATACTCTCCAGAATACACAAATAACACTAGGCCAAAAAATATCAACATAGAAGGTGATCTACGGCAAAACCACATGAAATGCTGGTTTTGAAAATAAAATGAAGTGCTTTTTTGATATATTTATCTATTATTTTTGTAGTATTTAAGGGTTTACGTACCATCATGCAGCATTGCCGTGGAGCACCCTATATAACTGTATGTACTATATATAAAAAGTTACTCTAAATTAAGTGTAAATCTTGTAAATGTCACGAGTGTTAGTCTAAGTACTCTTCATTTCATCATTAACGAATTTAGAAACAATTTTTAAAGAAGGAGTGTTGAAGAGGCATTTGTATCGTGTATTGAACACACAAACACTAGCAATTCAGTCCCAATAAAATATAAAATTGAAGATCGTTTTTAGTAATGGTAGAGGTAAGTTCGGTCGAGGCTGCGTACTCGTCGCCGCCTATCTGCATCGTCTAATGAGAAATTGAAGAGTGACTGCAGAGACCGATTTCGGTAGGGTCAGCGGATCCGGTTGAGGCGCAGTTCCCTGTCCAGCTGCTGTAGTTGGCGGATAAAACCCTCGTTAGGGTGGATGTCGCGGCGACAACGCACTGTTCCCAAAGCTTCGGCCAAAGACATCCCACGTTTGATCATAAGAAAAGCTAGCGCACAAGTTGCAGATCGGGACACTCCCATAAAGCAGTGGACTAAGACGCGTCCTAAAAATAAATATTAAGTAATGATTAGAAATGCCAATAGACAAAAAAATTTAAAAGACATTCTAGCTGTTACATTACGATTTGAAACATACCTCCGCTAGAAAGTCCCTCATCAATAAAATTGGCAGCTATGTGGAAATATCTTGAAATATCAGTTGATGGCAGATCCATTAACTGAAAACCTTTGTAGCGAAGTCCGGGACAGTCGCGGTAATAGAGGTGATCTGTGTCCACCTGGGTATAACGTTTGCCCTCAGCAGTGTTAAGCACGTAGTTTATGCCCATACGTCTCAAGAAGGCCTTGTCCTTGGCAGCAACACTAGATAGTGAAAATGAATAAAATGAGAAAATTGTTTGCGTAAACGTATAATTGTGAGTATTGTGACGTATATCCAGCTATTTAAAGGTAAGATGACACCTACACTATAAGCGACGTTACATAGGTGTGTGTAGGAAGATATTAATACTTACGCGTCACCAACATACAGTCCCGGATAAACTTCATTTACGTCCGGAGTGGGATTGTATGATATATCCGCGAATGGACGGGAGCGGAACGACGATAGCGAACTCAGCACGGAAGACGGCGACGAACCGAAACTCTGAAAGGGACGCACTATACATAAACACTGACCCATTATATTATTTTATTTTACAATTCACAAAACCACAAAACAGTGTGTTAATCTCTAGGACACGAAAAGTTAGTATGAACTTAGATGCTTGGACAGATAATGTACAGTAAACATAGTACATTAGTGAGTACGTAATTACACTGCAAATATTGATAAACAACTGCAATAATTAGCATTTAGTGTCACTGTGTGAGATAAGGATGAAAGTATTCATACATTAAATCCACACATTCTAAAGTGAGAACTGTATCTCTGAGTTACTACATTTTATAACACAACTGTTAATTTTACAAAACAACAAAACAACACATTTGTTTTTTTATCATGAAAACAGAATTTATCTGTCACTGAATTTTATTATTTTGGTGGTAGTGGCAGTGGTAGGTGACTACCAATAAGGTAATTATTTACAGATCATTAGGCAGTCTTTAGTTGAGTTAATAGGCGGCCTAATTATTTTACTCATTCATAAGTTAAAATTGTCCTTTTCACATTTATATAACAACAACAATAAAAACTAATTCTAATAAAAATTTTAATGATTACAAAACTTGCAGTAAAACAAAGCCAAGCATGCACGCCTGTTTCTACACACCCACATAAGTTCCAATGAAATTAAAATTTTCTAGTAAGTTGGTTCCAAAATCAGAACAAAGTATTTTTTAAGTATAATAAAATTACTAATTTAGTGCAGTGGTGGACAAATAATATGGTCATACAGATACATGATAAGACTAACACCTGGTTTCTGAAAGGCTTGTCAACGCTAAAATTAACTAATCTCCTGTTAAATCTCTTGTCAAGTCATCTGATTGGTTGTTGATAATTCAGTCAACTAACAGAGATGAAATTGATTTTAACATTGATCGGCCTTTCGGAAACCGGGCGTAAGTCTGGTCTGCCAACCTAGGTTAGAGAAAATAAAATAGTTTATCTTATATGTATTTATTTGTAGCATTGTATTGCCATAGACTTGTAAGTACCTTGAAGCAGAATAGTTTATTTATTTACTTTTTGATTAAGAGACTAGGAGACAACAGTTAATTATGTTGATTGATTTATTTTCCCATCCAATCCAATTTTAGAGGCCATCTCTAAAATTTCCTTTCAAATCTTTTGTCTGAAATTCAAGTGGAAATTTTGCCCACCACTGATTCCATTAATATAAGTTAGCAACAAAAACCATTAATAAAATGATAAAAGCAAAAAAAAACTCAACCTTATAACACCCAAGAGTATATCCATGGCAAAAATTAACAAGTACATCCATTTCATTGAAATTTTACTAAGACCTTTACCATATTTTGTCTGTGTAGTTGGATAAAAACAAGCACAGGCCAACTGTGTGAATTATGCACGGGTCACACCAACATAGGCCGATGATAAATACCATTAGAGTCCTTATGTAGGATCCTACACGTTGCTCTTTAGCTGCGCAGTATGAATGAGTTCTTGGGAATAGTGAGTACTGCCAATAACATAATATGGATTACTATGACATTATTATGCTAAAATATTAATATTATTTAAAGCATAGTGAGAAATGTGTGACTGTAACATAACCATTAATAAGCATTTGTGATGTGTTAGATGTAAAGAAAGTAACAATAATGGCTAGTCAAAATTAACTATAAAAATTCTCGGCTAAATTCCATGGCCATTCTGTTTTCAACAAGTGTAACATGAATAGAATAGAGTAGGCAGATGTTTGACCATGGTATTTAAAAAAAAAATATAACTTCATTACTTCATTGGATTTTTTAACTATGGTTGCTATTTTTAAGTACATGAAAATACTAATATTTAACCCTGTTATAGTGCAAGATATTTCAAGAAATAATTTTAACAAAATATTATTATAATGCATTAAAATAAGCTAATAATATTACAAGCATTTTAATTTGAGAAGCAAAATTTATTTATTTGCAATGTTAATAAATGTTTCTAATAATCTCTGCATTTTTTATACAAAAAAACTTTAAAACTATTAAAAAAATTAAGTAACATGTTTCAAAAGTAATCAGAACACAGTAAGATTTCTCTTATAAATAAAAATCCTACAACAGATAAAAATGGAAAATAATATGCCCTGGTTATCTATCTTAGACAATACAAAGTATAATTTTTATAGGTTGTATAGATAAATAAAAAAAACTGTATTCGGAAAATTTTGAACATGTTAATGTACATACATCGCAATAAGTGACTTGTCGTCGGGAATACCGGGGGTATAAAAGCTGTGAAAAAATTAATATTCCAGCTTACTCTCACTTTCAAAACGGAAGTAAATAATAAAATTAAGGTAATTTAATATATTCCAATACAGCAACGAAGTAAAAAATAGGATTATGGCAAAGTACAGTAAGAAAATTGATATCCCTTAGTAAGTATGTATAGCCCACAGCAACCTTGAATCTGTGACTAATATAAGGGTATAAATAGAACTGGGTTAAAATATTGATGCTGTATTCTATTTTTAGTACTATAAAACTATATTGTCCAATAAGTGAGTAGGTTACCATCGCAATAATTAAGAAGAATTACGAATTCTTGATAAATAAATTTAAAAAATATTTATTGCGACGTAGTTTTGTTTAAATTCTACTCACCGTATCCCTGTAACTCATCTTGAATATTTTTTATGTTTATTTAAAAGAAAGTAGATTACAGTTTGATGTAAAAATTACGGGATATTTATTTATTTTATCTTCTGAGTCAAAAACACTGTACTCGCAAAATATCGAAATTTAACAACTGAGCGCCATGACAAAACTAGTGAAGTTATGTACGTTTTATTGTAGACTCTAGCTTTAGTCGATTACCACGGATCAACTTTTAGGATCCTAGTATTAAAAGAAGTATTAATTAAAAACATGATCAAATATGACTACTATTTTCTTTGGTTGATTTAATAATGTTTTAGAATTAAGACAAGTGTTTTAAATTCTTAAACATGTGAAGCTAAAACACTTAGTTCTATTATAAAAAAGGACACTGAAATGTCTCTGGTACTCTAGTCTCAAGTTGGCACGTAGAGATGGTAGTCAATACGATGTTGCAATGATATCGAATCATACAAATCAGTCGATATCAAATAGTTTATTTTTAATGTTTTCTCTCGTTATGAATTTACATACGTGCAAGCGCGAAGGGTAGGTACGGGTACAAGGGTAGGTATTTCATAGCCAGGATCATAAGAATTGATAGCTTTTAGTCAATGGTCATTTAATTAGTTGTCCATTTCTATATCTTAAACATTTTGGCTTGTATTTTCTGTAATATTTTGCAAACTATTCAAGACTCCATTCAGATATACGAAGAATAATTTAAATCTATTTAAATTTAATATTCCTTATTTAAATTGAATCGAATGGTGTAATTGGTTAGAGCAATAATTGGTAATAACAACATATTGTCAATGTCAAATTGTGTGTCCCATCACTAGTTCGTATGTAACCGCGCCTTGTTTGCGTGCTAATATTTCTAAATATTGAAGAAAACAACTATAAAATAGAATTATGATTCTAGCGTTATAGCATTTTTGTGGAATCCGGCTTAAACTCCTGTGAAAATGGATGAAAAAGAAGAGTTGCATCTAACCTCTCAGGAGTTGCAAGTTTTGTCCGAACTTGACAGGTACGTAACTACATAATATTAAACAAGTTTTAATTTTCTATATGATCTACCGATTTGGTAAAGTTATGTTGTAATTCAACTACACAAATAAATTAACACCGTAAAATACAGCATCAAAGAGCTGGAATTTTCGAAAAAAAAAAAGAAAACAAACAGCAATGTCTGCTGTGTTTTACAAGTTTTTTCGAGCCCATACGCAGCTAAAACACTGCAGTTTTAGCTCTGGTTTTTTAGTGCCTGTAATTAGTATTTTATTTATCTAGCTATAGAGAGTAGTACCTAATTTACCAGTCCACGAACAGTGCTCACAATTTATAAATACACTGTAAAAAAGTAGGACATATTCATAAACAGAAATTGAAATTTTGATTTCAGTCGGCAGTTTGGTTTTCTTAAGTTACGTGGCACTGAACATGGCAGGACCCGAGCTCTTGTACTCAAGGCTGTCAAGTATCTTGAAGGAATGCTTGTACAAGTTAAGGTAAGGTCAATTTTAATAATTTAATTAGTCTTTTTGGCACCACAGGTACATAAAAAAAACTTAAGACCAGTATCTAATAGGAATTTCTGCAAGTCTGTTAAATTAAGATCAAATCAAATTCAAATCAAATTTATTTATTTACGTTTGTACATAAATATCTTATATTAGGTCTTACATTTTAATTAATCTAGGTAAATAACATTACGGTGCCGGTATAGAATTGAATCTGTACCACAGGCGTTACGGTCACTTTCAGTTACTTTTATGCTATGATTCATCCTTAACAATATTTATTTTTATCCATATATCTAAGATACTTAGATATTAATAATAAAAGAAAAGCTCCTACCTCTGTTGGTTTAGTTTGTTTTTTATCACGAAGTGTAATAATATAAAGGTGTAAGGCAGACATACACAATTAATATTATTTAGTTTATGTATTATATATAACGTTACACACAAAGACACTCTTGTCTGACCGTAGCAGTTCGTCGCTCGGCCACTGATCTCATTGTGCAGTCATAAAGTGGTTTCCCATTACAAAATTCAAATAAGTAAAGCTTCTTTTTTCTCTTTTTTTTCCAGGAGGAAGAAAGAGCATGTTCACCAGGAGACAGAAGAGATATATGCATTGACCCAAAAACTTATTGTAAACTTGGACATTTCCATCTACTACTTGAGGATTATGCTAAAGGTTAGCTCCTTTATATGTACTTATTTTTAGCTTAAGTAGCTCTTATATCCCGTAATGGTGGCTCAGCATGGTGTTCTAAACTATCCTCTCTGGACTTGCCTTCTTTGGAAAGTACTTGTATTGTACAGGCTGGGAATAGATATAGGCGGGAATTACTTAAAGTAGTGTGAGTTATGGCTGATATCCAGAGCGCGGAGACAGCAAGGTCTCCCATCCTCGCGAGTTGCGACAGGGGTAGCAACCTCATTCTCCATCACGGAGTGGTCCAGACCCATGATACGCAATTTCAAGGCACTAGTTGGGCCTGTACACGCGAGTCTTGTCCGCATCAAGGCACGCCCTGAGCTTCTCTGCGGATCGTGCGACAGTCTGTGACCACCGTAGACCGGTATATCGCCGCCTGACCGTATCGTACGACGCATAGCGTTGCTCGCGCGCCTCAAAGAGCCGATAGACAAATGAGGCTCAATAAGGCTGATGTTCAGCCGGGGTTAAGGGTCAAGCGCAATAAGGTATCGCGACTCCTGCCTGGAGCAGGAGAAGGAACGTAGTGATTTTTGTCAGTAAGGTTCAATTCACACCGAGACGCGATGCGACTAAGAGGTCAGCGAAGCGTCTGCCGCTAACCGCAACCAGCGCCGCTAGACGTATCTAATATAGATCTTATCGTGTGCAATATTTGCTTGGGTATTTTGAATCTTTCAAAGTGTTCATGACGTGTCGCGTCATGTCTTGGTGTGAACTAACCGTGAAAGACTCCTCTCGCTTCACAGAAACATGCCAATTTTTGATTTTCGACCCAAAAAATGGTACGGACGTTTTGCTGGTTGTGGGTAGTGTTGCCCAAATGCAAGAACAAGACGAGACTTAGCCAGTCTTGGTCTTGGTCTTGCGCCAATACACCTGGTCTTGGTCTTGGTCTTGCGCTCCCAGTCTTGGTCTTGGTCTTGGTCTTGCGCCAATACACCTGGTCTTGGTCTTGGTCTTGCGCTCCCAGTCTTGGTCTTGGTCTTGGTCTTGCAGCAAGAGTCTTGCAAGTTTTGCAATTACCTATTAGTGTATTACTATTTATTAAAGTTTACTTTAAATCTTAGAAAAACGTATTAGAATTGGAACATTGTGAGCTTGAATTAACATAGCCATAGTAAAGATCAAGCAGATTAATAAATAACTGAAGATTTGATAAGAAATTCGAAAAATCAACTGACCTATATGTCGTTTTCCATGGAAGTAACTGTTTCTTAATAAACATTTATGATTTATAAGCTTACATTTGCTAAAACATGTAAAAAACAAATTAATTACAATAACTTGACTGTATTTTAAAGAACAATAGGTACTTATCTGTCTAGAAAGAGATTGAACCCTCAACTTATAAGAAATTTAATAAAAGAGTTTTACAATTTATTATTTATTTGAATAAAAAATAAAATACAACCTAAATCAACAGCTTTATCATTAGGTTCAATATTATAATATATACTTACTAGAATGAATTAATATGACATCTACTACCTATCCTTACCATTTCATCCTAATCATAATACTACTTGCGTGATCAGTATAATGTATTCATTTTCATTCTAAACACTCTGAAACTTATTTATTCTTTGGAACACCTGTAGGTACACTTAAAATTCGAAATTATTTCGCATGAGTATACCTACGCCCTATGGCGGCAATCAAATAGTGTCAAATGTTATGATTTCGGCGTGGCGGCAACGATTCTTTTAAATTTCAAAAGAAGCCGCCGGCGCGTGTATCATAACCATGTACCTACTACCGAAAAGCTGCAAATTTCTTTGAGAAGTAAGTACAAAACCTTTGATGCCGCATTATCAAAGTGCCGATCACACATAACTACTCAGTGAAATAGCGCTAAGTCCTAACTGCAAGACGCAAGAGTCTTGCAGGATATGTCTTGTTCTTGCTCAAGTCTTGCACGGTCAGTCTTGGTCTTGGTCTTGCTAAAAATACGCGGTCTTGTTCTTGGTCTTGGTCTTGCAAAAACGCAAGAACAAGACCAAGACTGAATTTGGGCAACACTAGTTGTGGGAAAGGCACGAGGCGGCGGCCGATCTGTGATCTCCTTAGGCGAACCCTATTGATGGCATGGTGGCTAGCTAGGGGTATCAGACATCATCTGTTCGGGCGAAATTTGATGTCTACATAGTGTTTAATGTGCGCCACTCGAGGTAGGCAGTGGTAGTGACCAGCGCTAAGGACCTCGTAAGGTGGCGAGGCCTGCCGAATATGTAGCGTTGGGTCGAGTCCTGCTACGTCGGGTGAATCCTCAAGGGCGATTCAGGTCACGAAACCAGGCAGAGGAGGAAACCACTATGGCCGCGATAGCCTGACGGTTCGATTATAATGTATATTATCGATATTTATATTTTTTGGCAATGAGGGAATCGCTTACTGTTACTGTCAGCATTTTATTTAACAAAAAATTGTAATAAGCAGTAGTGCAGTACGCGTAAAGTGCAAATGTCGCGCGTTTCCCTCATGTTTATTGATGCGTGAATAATGAACATGTTTTGTACCTAAAAATACTGACATTTAAATATCAACCCGAAAATCAAGTGGTCAGAATATACCAAAATAAAATTAGAACTTTTAAAACAGATTTTACCTTTCGAAGAAATGTCAATCAAAACAAAAATAACCTATCTTGCTGAGTTAGGGGGCGCCAATTTATTTAGGTAAATGTTACACTGTACCGGACCTGATAAGGTTACATCCAGCTCGAAGGACCAAAAAATTTACGAGCTGTTTGCCCGTAGGTATACTCAGATGTATTTGTTGAATTTGTTAACGAGGACGGGATGACCACAGAATTCTCGAAGAGACCATTTATTGTAATTAATCGGTAAACATAAATATAAGTAGTTTAAATACATTAGTAGAGTCCGTAACGAATGCGATCGAATAAAGTTTTGTGCAAAATGTTAATCTACCACAATACGTTAAAAAGTAAAACAATCAAAACTCGCATGTCTATCTAAACGAAAAGTTAAAAGCGGAAATATAAAGTTATCAAAAAAAAAATAATTTTGTTAAGGTTAACTTACTTTTTACCCGACTGCCAAAGAAGGAGGGTAATGTTTTTCGAGTGTATGTAAGTATGTATGTATGTCTTTTCCTTTGTGACCTCCTGTAGCCTAAACGGCTTGATGGATTTTGATGTATGAGGTATCGTTAGATTTGTCTTGATTACGGGAGTGTCATAGGATACATTTTATCCTAAAAGTCCCACGGGATAAAGACATAACAATATTTTTTATAAATTTCCCTTTAAAAAAATATGTATGCGGTATCATTAGATTCATTTCAATCACGGGAGTAATTAATATAGGATACGTTTTTTCTCAAAATTCCCACGGGAACATGTTAATTCTGCGTCAACGCAAAGCAACTCATGCGTTAGCAAGCAAAAAGATAGGGCGTGGCCTGGCATGCGGCGCGCGGCGCGGTGCGGATATGTTGCGGAGTAACATCACTCGTAATCTAAAGCCAAATGTCGTCGAAATAATTTAAAATGGTACTTACATATACATAGTCTTCTACATCTACAACATTTTCGTTAAATAAAAACAGCTAAAAAGTTATAAATAAAAAAATTATTATTAAAAAAACAAAATACCCGACTGCACACTAAAAAAAGAGTAAAACAAGCCCCACAATACAAATTTACTGAATATAATTTATAAATGTTGATGAAAAGCATCGCAGGCGGGGACCACCTTGACCGCCACCAACGAAAATTCTGCTAAATGGTGCACAACAGAAATGACTATAAATAAACCTCTGTTGGTCCCCGCCTGCGATGCTTTCCATCAACATTTATAAATTATATTCAGTAAATTTGTATTGTGGGGCTTGTTTTACTCTTTTTTTAGTGTGCAGTCGGGTATTTTGTTTTTTTAATAATAATTTTTTTTTGATTACTGTTACATCTGTTGTTGCCTTCAGTTGTTCAAAAAGAAATATTTTCTTCCTGCTTTCTGGGGCCCAATTTAATCCAAGCTGCATTAGCAAAAGTTGAGCGTAAAAGATATACTTCTTCGGTTTAGTACTTAGCAAACTACCCATATACGTATGTATGAATGATGCGTAAAAATGTTATGCCAAGTAGTCGATCGATGAAAAGCATCGCTAAATATTTAATGATAGCGGTCCGCGAGGGTCTCGCACGAGTTCTTTTCCCATACTTATTCCGGTGAAGTTGCCAACTTTTTCTTTCAATATCCATACCCTTGTAATGAAAACGCACGCTTAAATGCTTATTAATAATTATAGTCTGTTGAATTTTTTTTTTTTGTAGTTAGGAACCTAAGACTGTGTAGGTAGTACGTGTGGCCAGATTTGGACGTATTTCTCATTTAATATTTTACTATCAACATAAGTATTTTTATAATGTTAACTTACTAATACTAATGATTAGACAGTAGTTTCCAATTAGACAAATTGAAATTTTCAGAATCTACTTTAGTAGTAATACTACTTTTCTGTGTTTTTTATTAGAACGCAATATACTTAAACCAGAAATAAATACTACTAATATTACTTATTTCTGATACATTTGCTTTGATAAATCTAAAATTTGAATAAAAGTATCATTATAAATAATAAGTATTTAAATAATTCATTGTATTGAAAACTAAGTTGTGATCCAGAAAACTCCCCAATTAGAGACGTAAATATTTAACTCTTTATTAGACATGGCGAGACAAAAATCAGACACATCACCTGCTCGTGGTAAGCAATTAACGCCGCCCATGGACCAAAACCAGGTTTGTTGCAAGTGCGTTGATTGGGAATAAGGGATTTCAAGATGGGCCTTCAGTAACTATACTCACACTTCGAAACACAAAGCATATGCGTTGTTTTACGCCGGTTTTCTGTGAGGCCATGCTATCACCCAGGTCGAGACGACACATTATGTATTAGGTATGGTTGTCCATCGTAGTTCATAGTTATGATCGCCAACATTATTTCAATCAATAATCCCGATTTTTCTTTGACATTCTTTATATTTTTTTCCAAATACTATTGAGTTTCTTCCTTAGTATAAGATATGTCATAACTTATCAATTATTGTCAAAGTTGAAACGAACGTAGTCGAAAGATCTTTATCATATATGTATGTATAGTCTCCTAAAATAGGAAACAGTTACTCATTCCCCTACGAAATAAAAGTAGCGTATGATGACGTAAGGTATTGACGCAGCATATCCCGATACGAGAGATCCTTTCTTAGAATAATGTGTAAACATAAATCTAGACTGCTCTTACACTAGTAACCTTGACCGTCTATTAGGTTCAGCTCTTGATTGAGGTCTCTTGAATGTTTACAAACTTTTCCGAGAAAACATTGTCATGTCGTAAGTTTACTAGGGAGTTTGGAGTTGTTTCTGGAAAAATGTTTTAGTTTGCCCTTTTTTCTTGTTAATTAGTATGTTATATTTTTATGGAATAGGAGGCAAACGAGCAGACGTATCACCTGATAGAGTCTGTTTTGATATGTAATCAATTGTTATTGTTGTAGTATGTTCTTTTGTTACTTCTCAAGTGTTATAGGCGTTTACTGGCTGAAGATAATAATGTAACCTCATCATCAACATAATCAGTCCAGTACTGTACATAGATCTCCTCTTTATAACTTTCAGATCTATGGGTTTATGCGTATTATTCAACTCTTTTCTTTTCATCTTCTTACTTTTCTTGTAGTCTTTCACTTCATTTCACGCTATCTATTTTTTCCTTTAAATTTAACGCAGTTGTTTTTACTTTATGTAATTTAAAACATTATTAAGTACCTAATTTCAAAAATTTGTTCAGCTTGGAGTTATCGTCGTTGATGCCTTATTTGGATAGCATTGTAATTATATTATTTCTCCATTTAGTTACGCCCCAGTTGCGTAAATTCTCATTTTCCTAAAATATATTGATAAATATTATTACTGCTATATTTATTTATCAAGGTCTCTGACGATACTTTCCAGGTGATAGACTTTGATGAAGTATAGAGAATATTCTACGCTTTTATCAAACATCGTGTTTTATTTTTCAAGTTTTAATTTGAATCTCATTTCCACTCTGAACCATAATGCAGTAAATCACAACTCACATTTAAATATTTATATTGTGATTAATTCTATAAATATCATCTAACCTTTTAAGACTGTATTTTCCAATGATTTTCCTCTAATTATTATCTCAATGAAAACCCCGAGTTGCAAAACATGTTTTTGTGTAAATTGTGGAATTCACGAGACACGATTTCCCATGCCAAAAATGGATATCTGAATGTTAAGTTAATAATTTATATACCACTCTAGATGACCCAGCGAACCCCGTTTACCGTCTCAACATTTACAAATATCACATAAAGTTCAATAATTGCAGTTTTATTTCAAGACTATAATTAGCTAAATCGGATAAGCCGTTCTCGAGGTTTAGCGAGATTAACGAACATCAATTTATTTTTATACATAAGAAGAGGTTTTATGTAATAAAGTTTTTGCTAAATATTAATTACTTAAATCAACACTAGATATACGTCATACATATCTAAGGTGGAGTTGATGAACTAATGTTTAACTTAGAGGTGACTATTCTACAGTCATTATCTATTAATGCTGAATATTTTAACATTTAAAATTCTAGTCTTCCTGTTCAGGATACTTGTGTCAAGGCACTTACTGTGGCTCTGCTTCTAGTTTACATGTTATTTAATAGATGGCGCTGTCTACAACTACTTATTGAATACGCGTTTGCTCTTCCTAGCCGTGATTTATATTCACATTAAATGATATATTTCTCAAGGATTAATATAAAATATTACAATTAAAGTATATATTATCGACATTATTAATACATACACTCTAATTTTGGTACAGACCTACCTGAAAAGAGAGATACATTCGTTTTGCTTTCTTCAAAAATCAAGCTACATACTTATTGATATATGTACTATGAAATGTATAATTTGAATAACTATCCACAAGAAAATAAGGAGTAAAACTTGTTAGTTTAAGTTACTTACTACGTACGTACATACTTTGCGTTGTTTTCTTACATAATATAAAGCACACCTTTAAAATAATAATTGTCTGTCCATTAGATGATAGGAAATAGTACCAGCTGCTTACTTTACGAACGTAAGTTATGTTTTGAAAAGGGCAGATGGGTTGAACGAAGACAGTAAAATATACCCGGTATAAAATGTCAATTGTATTTTGAAGATCTGGGCGACGTACAATAAGGGGTGAAACCGGTTTCCGTGACATTGATTTTAAATTAATCTATTAATAAATCGTCGTAAATATAAATATGCATTTTATTCAATTACATAAAAATCTAATTAACAAGTAGATATTACATACATTTACACAAATTAAACAATTAGCTACGTATATTTTGACATTGAATTAAATTCTTTTATTTTGTTTTCGGACATTTTGTCTTTACCTCTAGCATAGATTTTAAATTAATTATAAGACTTCTTTGTCTCCTAGTTGACAATAGAAAAATGTTACGTCTATTTTAAGCTTAGTAGCGTTCACCTCAATGTGTATTTGTGTAGCGGGAAGAAAACCTTATACAGTACACAGTTGTGTATATCCAATTTTGTGTAGTTAATGGTGAACCTTTTTTTAAACACCTTTTATTTCCAGTAACTCCCGGCCTGTAGAATAACCGCAATATTTTAGAAATCCCTTAACACGACCTTATGCCTAATAACATCGACATAGAATATTATTTTGTAGCAGCTTATATTATCAAGTATACGTACGTAGAATCGGGACTAAATTACCTATCTAATAATTATTATTATCTACCGTTTGCGCGCAAGGCCATTCCTGAAAGCTGTAATGTATGTGAAATAACAAAGGATGGTTTAGTTTACAAGATGTATTTAAAGGTATTTTTAAATAGATTAATGTGTTATGTGCATCAAATAAAATACTTACGCGGCGAAAGCAGTTCGCACTCATAAGAATCATATAAAATGTTTATATTAAGGGTTTTTATTCATATTTTATATTTGCAGCAATGTCAGCTTATCAAAAGTTCTATGCCCTGGAGCCTGACAACTGGAAGGACCCTCTGTTCCTGTACGGATTGGGGCTATGCTATTACCACTACAATGCCTTTGAGTGGTAAGTTTTTATTTTAAAAATATCAAGTTTTGCAAAACAAGGTATTGCGGGCATTGTTGCGTTGTTTCATTTCGTGCTATTAAACTTGCAATAAGTTTAATAATATACTGTTTGCTTTTTTGTCATTTTCCCGTCGTGGAAAAAATAATATCTTTTTTTTTGTATAATTATATTGTGTCGTTAAAAATGACGTAATTTAATTTAATAAGTACCTATTAAGGCTAAAATTTTACCAATAAATACATAAAACCGAAACAAACATACGAATACTAAATGTACCCGTCACGAACTACTGAAATAATTTTACAAGATTTCAGCAGGTACAATGTTTAATATTCTTCTTAAAAGCAATTCACGCCATTACAATGTATAAATAAACTTTTCCAAATGTGCGTCAATGGAACAAAATCTCGTTTAGACTAGCATAAAAATATGTATGTGTGTTATGTAAATAGGAATGTTAACGAGCTTTCCGTGTTTCGTTTCATCACATACCGGACGGACGTCGCTTCGGGAATATCAAACTTCTATAATAATTTCGGTCGGAGCAAAAGCAGTGCAAGCTGGCTGTAGCCCGTGATGTAGACGTCGTGATTCGTGATTCACCGGACGTAGGACGAGCGCGGGCGGGGGGAGCCGCGCTAGGGCCGGCGCAGGCCGCGCGGGGAGCTACGTGCGCGAGGGGCGCAGGGCGGACGGCGTGGCGGCGCGCGGCGCGGGACGCGGGACGGTGCACGCTGCAGCGAGGTCGTCGCTCGCTCGCTCACGCCGCGGTCTGCCAGTCGGGAGCGGGATGCGGTGACGTAAACTGCATCGGCGCGGGCCGCGACACCGTAGTGTAGGACGGGACGAATCGTGTTCGTATGTACCGTGTGCGTGCTGAACAACCCTGTGTGACCGTGTACTTGTGCTGTTTTCGCTGACGACGTCTCCGCTCTTCACTACGTGGGCCGCTGCGGCCGCACCGACCAGCAACGGATCCGAAGATCCCCGAAATGGTGAGTGCGGTCGAAGCTCCCAGCTCGCGGTTTGTTTACGTCGGCCCTCGTGCCAGCTCTCTCTCTCCACCTGCCGCCCGTATCCCTGTGTCGCGTTCGCACGCGACTCTTTCTATTGTGTTTTGTTTCCGAAATGCAGACACCAACGTCGACGGCTCCGGACCAGGTCCCGTCGAGAGGTCTCGTTTTTGTTCGTTTCAATGGTTTTTGCATGTTTTTTGTAGTGTTTTCGCAGGTAGCTGAGCGAACCTCCTCATTCATCCGGGGATGCGTAGCGTAATAAGGAATGAATAAGAAAGAAGGGTAAATAGTTTGAGGGGTGGGCAGTGCGTGTGTTTGCTGAGGCTAGTAAATAATGAGTATGCTGCCGCGCCGCATAAAATGTAGGTCGGTGGAGTGTGGCCGCAACACTGCCGCACGCGATGCCTCGCCTCACCTCACCCTCCACCAGGCCATGCTTACCCATTGTATACATTGCCAACTACTTATCAATCACTTGCATTGCGTACGTGATATCAACTATCAATACATTTTTGTTATAACATATTGATTACAGAGCATACAAATAACGCCAGTTTTAGTATGGTCTAGTAGTAAGCTAACCCGTTAAACTTATAATATACTTTCTACTTACTTACTTTGTGCAAGTACCCACTTCGTTTAAAATATTTTCCTTTAGCCAAAAATCGCCTTTAACTTTTTCTAAACGTCATCATTAGAAATCTTACGGCACAGAAATTCCTGTGAAGACTAATGAGTAATCCTTCATTGCTAAAGTTATATAATTTAAATAATTTGTAACTACTGGAAAAATTGTGAGTCATGACTTCATGACGAATGACTTGAATCCGTTGCCTGATAGCTATATCAGTAAATTCGCGCACTTTTGTCTTGCGTCATTGGTCATTGAACAGGTAGTGGCGACACAGTTCGGATATATAATGAGCTGGCATAAGACACCGAGTCGGTATTCAATTTCCTATCAACTGGAAAATCCAATCCACTACTTAATTGTTCCGCTGTAACAACTAAATAATTTGGACTTCCTCTTAACGAGTCTATTCTGATAGAATAACCATAACTTGGGATTTCACACGATAAAACTATTATTAGGTACGCTATTAAAATATACCCTCATAATAATTTTAAGCAATTCAACTTCCTAACCTATCTTAAATACGTTTATTAAAGAAATACCCGCATTTGCCTTTCAGTAATATTTTCAAATGATTACTATGCAAAGCCAAAGCGAAATATCACAGTATTAAATAAATATCGAAGATGACGCAAAAATACCAAAAATTACATTGATATCTTTGATATAATATCTAGTAACTATGTTTTAATCTCATTCATCAGCGGTATCGTAATAGTTATCACGAATCATATTGGCTATCAGTCGCGGACCGGTCTGCACATTATCTACGCAACGCCGCTAACCGCTTCCAGTAACGGTATTCCACTCTCTGGAGTCCTCCAGCGACTAGACTTGCTAGGCCCGTTTCGTAAACTTGTTCGTCGATATGCTCGCCTAGTCCTTTTTTGTAAATCTCCCGGAAGTTAGTTTTAAACGAGTTAAGCCTCGCAGATTTGAGAGGCGTCCAATGGCCATTTTATATGGCCTAAGCTATTTGCATATTTAAACAGTATTTTTAAACTGGTTTGATTAGGTCTAATGTTACCTAGTATCGATTACATTAACTGTAGTAGATAATATAGTTGTCTTAATTGATATTTTTTTCTCTTCTCTTGTCTTTAATATTTTGAAATGTTATACCAACCCGATCCCTGTAAAGTGCCAAATAAAACCTTTGCAGGGATCCTTTACTTACACCTCGTTTTGTTTGGTGTAGGTACCACGAATTTATTATGCCATAATAAAATTAAGTTTTATTTTTGTTTTGCCAAGGGCACATTGCTATTCATTTATTCTGGATTTGGAATATTTCAGTATGTAATAGACTCGTGGCCGAGTTTTTGCGTATCGAACAATACAATAGTTCCAATATTAGATAGGTATAGCCACTGTAGTTTAACACATTTCTTTGCATCTATTATAAAAAAGTGGGTAGCATAATATTGTAAGTTATTTATCCCCTGTGGATTGTTAAACAATTCATAATATGCATTATGTAACTATTGGAAGTCAGCTGCCACGGCTAGCGGCTGGCAGGTAATGTCAGGCTCGTGGCTAGGTAATGTCAGGTCGTTGGGTATAGATTGTGATGTAGTAATGAATGCTATGTAATTGTTAGAGCAGCTTGCGGTGGCGCGTGCCGGGCAGGTGCCTGCCGGCTGCTACCACACCTGTCACGACATCAGCTGCTCCTTGAACTAGTTATTATATTGTTTAGCTACTTAACACGCCTTGTATCCGTCCTCGCACAAAGGAACTCACAATACCTTGCTCATTCCAACTCATAAAGTAACCATTACCTAACTGTCACGTTCTTTCATTTGTTTTTACAATATTACCGCAATTTACTTCAGTTTACACGTGTTGGACGTGGTTAACAACAAGCATGTACTACTACTGTAGCAGATAACGCCCAGTACATTGTTGCTCCAAGTACTTTCGTATAGAAATCCAATGTTGCAGTGTTGAGTTGAATTAGCAACATCCAATGCAATGTTAGTCTCAGCGTATCTCGATGTGCTGATAATATTGTTGGGTTTTACTACGCATTCGTAGTAAATAAACATAGTGCGCGTAGAAAGCGATAAAATTTCTCGACATGTTGGCCGGCTCGCTAGTTTGCACAGTAATTGCATTCGGTAGTTAATTTCACCATTACCGGCAGTAATTCGCCGGCAGCAGTCTGTATCCTGTGCTACACTAGAGAGGAGTTCAACTAAAATGTATATACTAAGTCAGTGCAGCTAGGTAAACAGTCCGTACGTGCGACTTATGTATAAATAGGATATAGCAAAGAGGAAGTCTTATTAGGGCCAGTTGTACGTATACAGTAATCGGTCGCCGCGCCAGCGTGCCGTGCGAATGCTTCGAATGCATGACGAATATTGTGGTCTTCCAATCACGCGGTATTGATAAATAACTACTAAGGTAGTTCATTATAAAGTAGCTAAATATTTTAGTCTCTAGGATATCTTGATGATAACATTACCAACCTGATCGCACCTCAGTTTCTACAAACAACACTGTTTAATGTATTGGTATAAATAAAACATAGCAGGTGGTTTATAGATTTTGTAAAATCAATTCGATATTTTATAATAATCTATGTCAACATTTTTATACAAGGTAGATATGTATATTACACGAGTATACTAAAATACCTATCTGCTTTGTGACCTTTTAATAATGTATATCTACTAAAAAGCACATCCATTTATGGACGTCCACGTTAAAATATTACGTCAAAACGAGTGTGTTATTATTTTGTAAGTATAATATTATGTGGGAGTCATCGTGATCTGTTGAATGCCGCATAGCAACAACGTAGAGCGGTGAAACCGGAATTTGACAGCGTTTCTCATGCTTGCTTATGCTATTATGTGAAGTTACTGCCAAAGAATATAGCGGTACGTGCATATAGTTTTATTTATGTAAATTATCTAGCAACAGGACTAACTAGTATTAAGTTCGCTGTAGAGAACGCGAACGCGGTCTCCGACCCTAGGCTAGGAGTGCATCTAAGCAGTTTTAGAGATGTGCGGGCGGGGCGTAGGCTCTCGCCCTTCGTCCCGCGCCGTGCGCCGCGTCACGTACGCACGGGCCCTTTCACGCACAGGGAGGGTAGAACTTGCGAGGGGCCGCGCGCGCACCGACTTCGACAAGCCGACTATCGAGTCGCCGAAAACCGTATGCATTATTAGCTCGCCCCCTTCACCCATCCCTATTCGGGCCCTATCGTCCGTCCGCTCGAAACGATTTAGGAATATAGCGCCACGACACCCTGCCCTCTCATACCTCTTACCCCTGCGTTGCGGTGGGAACGACTTTTCGATTTGTGTAAGAGGTCGTACCGTACTTTACGCCCTTTGCCCGTGACGTAACAATTACGTCTACTTTTTTTGTAATCTAGGTCACGGCTCAGAGTTAAGAGCAGGGTGAATGTAGAGATGTCGGCGCGCGGTCGTCGACACTAACGGATCGCTATTTATACCTGGTGCGTAGTGCACCGGAACTCGCCCGCTGCACTCGCTGCATCCGCGCCGTCCGCGGCACTCGCCTCCGCTCTGTCAATGACCCCGTCACCACCGACGTTATTTCCCAAATCTCAGTAGCCCAACCAAGTGTAACGTACACGTATAGAGCTCGTAAATCATGTCAGCTAGATGTCTAAACGTTTATAACTCTCCAACAATAATAAGTCTTGGAACCCATAGGGCGACTGTTGCGAAAGGCTGTTTAGCAAGCGGGTGCCCTTCGGCTTTGTTTGAGTTACGTAAGTCTTGTCGACCCGCCCACATCTGTAGGGCAACCACCCACACAGGGCATGAACTGTGTCAAGCAGACTGTCCTAGTTTCTACGTAAACTATGTACGATTTTTCATGTTTACGTTTTCACAAGCTAGGTAACACCCCTCGATTCCATAATACTTTACTACCACGTCTAAAGAAAAACAAAACAACTCCTTTCTCCCTTTCCTTTCAATCAATAACATGTGAATCTAAATTTATATAAAATTCATGGTAAAATATAAAATCGTTATTTTCCTGTTAGAAGTGACTAGCAAAAAGTGTATTAATAATGTACATCGCTGTTCATAGAAATTGTTAAGGATAAATCAATATCATCATTCGCTATCAAACTCTAATTATTTCTCCTAATTTCCTTCATTATAGTTATTTCTAATAGTTACTTTAGTAAAGCCGGATAATAAAAGAAGTAAATGTGTATTCGAGCACCGTTGCTAGGTCCGTGCAAATTCGCAATCTCCGCGAGCGATGTCCGCGATGGAATTTCCGCGAAAAAAGCCATACGTCACATCAGCACGTCACGGTAGCGGGCGGGCCGCGCGTAACGTCACGCCAAGCAAGGCCGCGGCTGAGTAAGCATCGCTGTAACTTTTTGTTTACACCAACACTGACTAATATGGTCGTGTGATGTAATGTCACATATTCATATCGCATTCCAAAAAAGTTTATATTTTTCAAAAGAGTCTTCAAATTGTGGCCATTTATTTGAACTTCTACAAAAAGATACGATAAGGAATTTATTCTAAAAACGTATTTAACGTGAAACAGTAAAATTCTTGGTAATTGACAATATTGGTAGTTTTCCTAGTAATTTGGACTGTCGGTCACTAAATATGTTGATCACGTAGATGATGATTCCCGTGAAGTATCGTGCGTTACGTAAATTACTTGCGTAGTTACTTCACACTTGGTATATTGTGGACAGATAACAAAACAATTGTGGACTCTACTTATTAGCGTCATTGACTATTATTATTGTACAGACA